TAAGTATTTGTTTAAACATATTTTATATTAATGACAATGAAAACTGAGAAAATATATCAGATCGACTTTGAACATCGATTCCTCAAGGTTTGCATTCCACAATTTTGGATTCATCCATTTAACATTCAAGGATGCCATCTGAAAGTAATTAAAACCGGTTCATTTGTATAAATTCATTCTTCCCCTCCCTAAAGATGCGATTTCATTCATAAAAATGAATTTACTTATCTACAACAATTTTTGTTTTCATCCGAATCGGTTAACTGTTAATTAATAGGACAGCATTACCATGTTTTATCTATTTGTATAAATATTGAAGAACAGATGGGGAAGCTCATGGTCCAACTTTAGAATTAAAAATACATTAAATATGCAATGTTAATCGTTGACAATTAAATAAACGGTTCAAAATTAGCAGCATTTTTGATTATTAGCCAAATTAATGCCGATTGTTCGCATACTTTGAAACTAGACATACGACTTTCGTACGTTATAAGCTAGTAATTTTCATGCAAGTTGGAAATTTATATGTAAGTTGGATCGTAATGGTCATATCTAAAAGAATTAATCATAATTATTAAGTGTTCTATCTTGTTTTATACTGTAATGATGTGTATATTTACGGAAAACCAGGATATTAACAATGAATATTATAAACGATATATTTCCGCATTTTTAAAAAATGCAAACTTAATTATTACTTTATATTGTAAAATATGTTAAAACATTTTAAAATATTGTATTATCATATCAATAACATGCATAATTTCCTTTGTAGCAAATTATATGTGAAAAATTAAATTAAATTAATATTCAGTTTGAATTTTCAGCCTTATTCTAAGTATATTTAAACTTCAAGAATCAAAATCTTTAAATAAGCTAATATATAATATAAAACTTATACATATTTATTATCTCAAACTTTTTAAAATTAATTTTTTATAGAAGTACATAATAATTATTGTCTTTTATCTAAGAAGTAATATTATGTAAACTAAACTGGAGGTTTTGACCTGGACTTAGGCTCGCCCGCAACTCTTTTAAGTGCAATGAACGGCTTGTTGAAGGCAATCAGTTTCTCTCTCGATACTGTTTTCAATAGGCTACTTATTCAGGAAAAGTAATCGAACAAATTCAAAAAAATAAAAATAATTTAACACAAAATAGAAATATAACTTGCGAAATGCGAAAAAAGATTTTTGACTTGAGTGTTGATACGATAGAAAAAACGTTTATCATACAGATATTAAAATAAGTTTATATATATATACATACATTATAGTTTGAACCTAAGATGAGAATAATAGTTAGATCAATCACTGGAGAAAAGCTACATTTGTGTAATGGAGCAGTCATTATTTTCCCATTAACTTCCGCATTTTAACGTTAAAAATTACTATTTAGGAAGTCCTCTCAAATGCCATTTAAATTCGCTCATGTTTATTTATTTATAAGAATATATCTAGATTTATTTCTTCTTCTTTTTTTACGGCCGAACGTAACGTATCTTATTGGTTTAATAAATGACACTCGATTAGGATGCGTATGTTCATACAAAAAATAATAAAATAAAATAAAATAAAAATACTTACTAAAATGAACTCGCATATAAATTTATGGCATTTGTCAATTAATCTATTTTTTATGCACTTTTATCGATTTATTCGGGGAAATCTGAAAATATTTCATTAAATAAGAGTCAATTATGTTAGATAAATGCCACAACGTATTTTTACGAAGAAACAATTGCGAGAAAGGAAAACGAATTAAATCAAAGTTTTTGTACATAACAATAATAAAAAAAAAATTGTAAACTATATTAATTCATTGTTTCTTAATCCATTTTTTAGTTTACAGAAGTGTAATAAGATCTATGACACTACATTATATTAAATTAAAAAAAAAGCGATTACAATGAAAATATCTTCAAGTCATCAGCATGAGAGATATTCTAAGAAAAACTGTTTGATTCATCAGAATATTGCACATAAAATTGTAATTGTATTATAAGCAATATTGTAAAAGAGATAGAAATTAAATAATTTTACTCGCATCTGATTTATAATTAAATAATTTCTAGATATGTAAGGTGTTACATTATTCGGACCTAAAAGACAAAGTTCGTGATACATTAACATTGTCAATATTTCATATCTTATACAAACTTAATACAGTTCGGATTTGTCTAGTCTCATTTCGATCTGTTTACGTTCTCAGATATGCTTTAACAGATAAACAACTGAATCACTATTGTTACATATTTTACAGACGTGAATATCCCCCGACTGCATCGTTTATACTTGTCCAATTTATGCTTTTACATCAAATCCGTTTTAAAATTATTTTCATTTTGAACTAAATAGACCTACAGATTACAGATCTAAGAGTGACAAACGTGATTTAATATAGTTAAAAAATTGGTCAAGGCAAAGGATAAATTCAGAGAAAAGAGTGCGCAATTGCATATAGTAGACACAATTTTAATATAAAAAATGTATTATAGTTATTATCAAATAANATGACATGTTTTTGGATATGCCAAGAATAAAATACATTTCTTTATCTGGAACCTTAATTACAACATTATCATTTCAAATTTTTATGTCTGTATGGGATCAGTTAGAAGAAATATATCTTAAAAGTATATATAAACTATTCATAATGTTTTTAAATTTATTTATTTATATAACTTATATGTGTTTTTCTCCTAAAGATATTCCAATCGTGTGTGATTGCAAGACTGTATGGATACTTAAAGAAGAGAAACCAACAAAAATAGAAGCTCCCGATTGCTATCAACCAAAAAATTTAAAAGGAATCAACATTTTAAACGTGACTGGTAATCTATTATGTACGTTTAGAGGAGCTTAAATGTATTGATAATAATACAAAATATCCAATGAGTCACTCTTAAGATAATAACTGATAAAAATAATATTGCTATTTATATATATATTTATTTATAATTTAGCACAATAAAAAAATTATCTTAAAGTTAATATAGTACATAATTTAATCCTGAAAAATTATCTTCACGTCAAGCATATAGTACGAATTACTCTCCTAACAATTTAATAACCGCACTTTCCCCGTCATATTTCCTCATGCTGTTATTTTTGTAGATCTACTTTCATAGATATTTTGGATATTAAACGCGTCATTCGAAAGTTTATAAATGTAAATAGATCTCCCCTGCAAAGCGGAGAATTGCTTTAAATTTACTTGCAATTTTTATAAATGTAGTGACATAGGTACCAATCAAGATCTTATTAACTATATTCATAAATACGTACCCCTATGCTTTCCCCATTGGTACGCCAAGGTATCATATCATATTATTATCTAAACAGAAAAGAGTAAAAACCAGTTAAATAAACAAATATAACCGTGTTTTTCTTTATTATAAAACATATAAAAATAAATTTTTGTTATATTTTAATAAGTTTAATAATTAAAAAAATATATTTCGTAACTGAACGCTAAATTTAGCCAATTGTAATTTGCGTTTTAAATGAAATAAATAAATATGTATATATAACTTTATCATTTGTACTTCTCACTTTAAAGTAACGCGATATTTGCCTTATTATATTTTTTTAATGATCATTTTACATGTATGACGATTAACACAATTTTTTTTATTTAAAAAAATGCAGACGGTTCATCAACCTTCTCAACCTTCAACTTCGTTTTCAGTTTAGTTTTATCAAAAAACCTTTTCAAACGAAACGCGAAATGCCCTAGAAAATTACGTAGCATAACATAAAAGTATAACACTTTCTTAAGAGCCATCGACTTTTCATCTCCCTTAACACATATACTCCGAACAAAATGGCGCCGGACGAAAACTGCATGACGTCACACGCCAATGACTTCCTACCTGGTACCACGTGACTGCTTTAGTGTGTCAAGCACAGAGGAAAAGTCGAAAACTTCACTTTTCTGACACTGCCCTCTAGTGCCTGGTTTGTAATGAGGCCAGAGTGACGACGAGTCATTGCCCCTGAGACGAGAGTCGGATAGCGGTTCTAGCTTACACGTTACTGTACAGTTGGTGATCGTACTGTCTACAGCTGATTGTTGCAGTGAGACAGAATGATTGGGAATCGTCACTGGGTCTGCGAAAGGTTCTTCTTAGGACCTTCCTCGGTAAGTACTACTTTATGTTACGGTGTTGCAACGCAGGATACTTGCCAATCTTTGCCGTTTAAATTTAAATATCGGAAGCCCGACGCCTGATATCTAATACTATACCCTTCTTTCACCCGACGGGACCGTTCTTTATTGTGCGAATTATGAATCCAGACGTTCCTCCCGTCGGATTTATCGATTTTTCGATCTTTTTACGTCTTTGTTTATTTTGATCCCGATGTTATTTGCCGGCAGGAGTGTGGCGATGTTCCCTTTCCTACCGCATATATCATGAGGAACAAACGTGTGTAGTAAGACCGAGTCCGGAAATACGACAGACAAAAAAGATCGAAGAAGGAAGCTGAACGTACTGGGCTACTTTCGTCAATAAGAAGGTCGGCACCAAACCGAGGTTATGACCTAGGTCCGTGGAGCTTCGTTTGGCACACCCTCGCCTTTTTACACCTGTCGACAGGTGTTGACAAAAGATGTTGCGGGTTTAAATTCCGGTTTATCTACAATTTTTTTGGTTTTTTCCCCGACCCGGCGAATAATGTCAACGAGCAATGATTAAAGGGGATGAAATGTGTAACCCCTTTGTGATTGCCCACACTTTTGTCGGTCCCTTTTTCAATCATTCGCTTTCCGTTCGCATCGCATTCCGCTTAAAATCTAAAAAAGTTGTTTTTAATCAATTAACGGCATCTACACTACTAAGTCAATGCGCATGCGTTAGGCTGTTTTCTTCCTAAGCGGATATTTTTATCGTGACGGTTATCGTCTACCCACGTGGTCACTGACGTCATTGCTGGTATTAGAATGGTCAATCGTGTAACGCTTATAAAAACTCATATTTCGAAGCGAGTGAAAGAGGAGTACTTTGACTTTAGTGAGTTTGTTGACGTCTAAATAAGAGAGACCAAAGTCCGTCGGAAGTCGGTCACCAGATGGCACTGTTTGCATGGAAGAGATAGCAGACGGATTTGAGGCAGTCGAACTGCCTCATGCTCGCTACCAAGGATACTTTTAGGCATCGAATCATGCTTAAGTTTGGCATGATCGTAAAGTCGGACGCTCTGTACCTTCTCTGGCACCTAAGAAGGCGAACTTCCAACGGTATTATAGTTTTGACCTTGCCGCTTTGTATGTGGATGAACGGTGACATTTCTCAGTTAAACATTCCACATCCATCAGCATTATATGCAAAGGCTTATCTATGTGGATGAACAGTGATGTAGGCTACAGGGACAGCGAACTCTCGAGTGAAAATCGTTTCTGTCAGTGGCCGTGACCTCATACGACCTACATACCCTTGTCACGTGACCAAAATCCTGGGTGTGGTGAAAGGGGGTAGCATCGACAAATCAGGTCAGTGAGGGTCACTTTTGTATTAGATTTTTTTCCTACTTCTTCGGAATCGCTATTTTGACCTCTGTGATCGAGACCTTGACTTTAAATATTTCAATAATCCTTATAAGAATTCCATTTTTGTCAATACTTTTGTTTAGGGATAGATTGACGCGAATTTATTAAACGCTGCGCAATATCCGGCATAAACCCGTGTCCCAGTTTCATTTTGGTTATATCAGAAGCGTCACTAACTATTTAAAAGTGCTGAAGGCTCGTAAATCGTCACCTGCATCTTTAATAATCGATTAGGATAAACGGTATTCCTGTTTATTAAGTTTAAATAGCTAAACCTTCGATTTCTGAAGCAATAATTAGTTAAATATTTAAACAAATATTATCTCCATAACATTAACCTCGCTTTTATCATCGGCACAAGTTTAGCAAAGGTTAAGATCTTATTGCTATTTCGTAGAGAAAGTTCATTATAGATAAGGATAATCGACTACACTAAAAAGATCCCCATTTCCTACTTGTTATCGAGTACACGATAGTTTTTTTGCTTATCGTACGCACTTGAAAAAAAATAATAGTTAAAAAAAGTATAGATCTTATCATCTGGATGATATACGTAATTATCCTTCTTGAATGTAAGGATGGGTTGTTTCCCTTCTTTTTTTTTTAACTAGTTTTTAATGTTTACAAAATTTTTGACATAATAATCCTTTTGCAAAAGATTGTCGAACTTGCATAACTCGCTCCAGACACTCCTGTCTGCTCTAGTCTCCAACTTCTATCTTTAGATCGAAAACATCTCAAAACAACTGTTAGTAATTTCAATCTTCCCCATCCTACGTGTCTATAGATGCGTCTGGGAGATCAAGCTAATCGTGTTGGGTCTGTTTTTCGGTTCTAATTTCTCTCAAGGCCATCTTCAGTCGCACTTCATGGAAGATAATCCTTTAAACAAGAACGCTTGACGGAAACTATCGACTTCCTCATTTGACGAAACGCACAGAAAAAAAGACGTGCGGAATGAGGTGTCGGTGATGTCATATGCGAGGTCACAAATTGCAACAAGTCAATTTTATTGTTTGATGGAATTTTAGGTGAGGGACGACGTGCTTATTCATTGTAGTGATGAAACCAGAGTTAAGCAATGTGTTTTATTCGCTTTCTACCATAGTAAATGAAATTTTATTGGTATCTTATATAGGTGATGGGTATTGAAAGTCCAGAGTTCGAAACAACAGCGGAAGAATAGCGATAATGACGTCTAAATGGCGGGAATGAGTTTCACAACTAATATGTTTATCTCTATTAGAAGATAAAATGAAATCCTGACGTCATTTATAGGATAATGTGTTTTAATGTTTTCAGAAGTGAATTTCACACAAGAGATTAGGATAATTGTTTAATTAATGAATGGATGTAAAAACAATGTTCATCCAGTAATTTATAGAAAGTTTAAATTTATTGAAGTACTTTGTCTCAGCGTAGAAGTCAACTTTCTGCATGTCCTATGAATTAATAGGAACTAACGAAAAAGTAACGTTATGTTTTGGTAACCCTTAATTCACACTTGTCATAAGGATGGTGTTGAAAGGTTAGTGATAAAGGATTACAAGAATGTGATTGCATGAGAGGAGTAAGAAAAAAATAGAGCTAAGATCTGTGTCGTGGCAGACAATACCACACAATTAGGTCAACAATTTTTTCATATTCGCACAAGCTGTTTTAGATAATGTCATGGCGGTATAGTGAAATTTGTACAACACGAGGCTAGCAGACATATAATTATCCAAACTTTTACAAAGAATTCAACCTGTTTTAACATAATTAGAGCTAGCTACTTGAGTTATCCAGCATTTATTAATTTCTGTATAATTATATCACTAATGATATTACTTTTTGTAATTTATTAATACGATTTGAGATAACAATCTAGTTTAATTTATAGCTTCGTTTTCCCGATTTTCCTTTCATCATTATTTTATGCAAATGATCGTGTTGCAGATTTTATTCTGCGGCTTGTAATTGTTTCAAGGTATTGACATCGAGTAAGCAACCATATTAGAAATTATGCTTCAAGGGCAAAAATTATTACTGTTTAATCGTTGATATTTCTTGGATTATTTTTTCCTTTTGATCATTATCGATATGTTTGAGGTCAAACATCTATCTTCTTACAGTAAAGAAAGCAAGCATATTTGTCAACATGTTGGATTAGTTAACCGTTTGACCTAGTCCACTTTCCTGCAAATCTTCCTACGTTCACTGCAAACAAGTTTTCGATTAGTTTACGAAAACCAGTTCTACATTTTTAAAACAACTATCAAGGTCGATTGAAATTCTAGCATAAGTTAATGGAATGTTTAGACGGTTCAATATGGAACAATAAGTAGATTTTTATGTTTTAAAGAAAAGTGATATGTCTATAAGCAATCGGTAACAGCTTGACATTTACTACTTGTTGCATCTGTTGATCCCAATTGTGCAATGTTTTGAATCTTTCGCATAATTTTTCCCCTTCCGATTAAGACATTTAAGATTTATAGAATTTATATCTTCATATATAACTAATTTATATAATTTTAATGCGAGTAAATTAAAATTTGTCAATCAGTTAATTACCTATTGTTATCTGACCTTCGCAACCGTATCAAAACAAATACCAAAGCCGGAAGGCACTAAAGAACATAAATTCTAACTGTAAAAACTCAGTCCGTCCTTGTTTATATATTAAGAATGATATTTTTGTAGATAAATGTAATTAGATATGAGGTTTTTTTTTGTGTGTAAAACTATTGATTTCTACACTCTTGTTAGGGAAAGATTAGGAAAATTTTGTTATGATGAACCGGTTTCGACATCACTCTTACATTTTATCAACTTACTGGGTCAGTTAAGAAAGGGTTTCATTCCACAATATAAAGCAGACAGATATGGAAATTGCTTCCGATTCGTTACAGTTCTGTCAACATCTAAATACACGTACAGTACTCTCGTTTCATAAGAAGTCACTTATTTGCCTGAAACATATTTAAAAAAATTAACCAATCGAAACTGTAGAAAACATTCTAGAGAAGGATTTCTCTAGGATGATATTTAAACTCTGCTAATGATATTTTGCATGTCTTACAATTTAGGCTTAGCATTACCGTAGAAAGATGCGAATATCTAATTATAAATAGGTAATTTAAGTGTTTGTTTTGGTTGTTTCGTCACTTGGTGAGTTATAGTAAAGGAAGATATCACCTGTTTGAAAATTCCGCGATTAATTATGCCTCAATAAATCGAAAATAGTCGAATAGGAACGACCTCCGCCATTTATAAAGTCGATCGTTTTCCCAGAGTTCTTAGCTCGATGACGTTATTCGACGGTCGTTTATAATTTAATCCGAGGAGTGACGTAAATATAAATTTATGTGCAGAAGACGTCTGGGAAACTAATACAACAGAATTCCATTGTTTTGTTTTGTATAAGTTAATAAAAATAATTTCTACGCGATTTAGCGGAATTCAGATGAGAGATTATTGTTATTATTATTATTATTATTATTATTTTAAACGGACAGTGACCCCTGGTATCAAGCAAAAGTACTTTATGTAGTATAAAAGCCGGCGGGAAGATGTTCGGTATAAGTACAACGGATGCCGTAATTATAGACGGAAGTTTGACGTTGTGGTGTCGGACNATTAAATACAATATTTCCCTAAATTGAATAATAAATTATATAAACCAATTTGAGATATTTACACAAACAAATTTCTTTTTTTATTATTATTATTTTAAACGGACAGTGACCCCTGGTATCAAGCAAAAGTACTTTATGTAGTATAAAAGCCGGCGGGAAGATGTTCGGTATAAGTACAACGGATGCCGTAATTATAGACGGAAGTTTGACGTTGTGGTGTCGGACGTTGGCTGATTGCCAAGTAGGCCACTTCGTTTTGTGCACGCTACGAGGGTAAATGACCCTTTCTCTAGCAAAACGACGATCTCTCGTGGATTCCGCAGAGTTCGCTCATCCGAATATCTTATTGACATATCCGTCTTGCGTCACACGATGACGTTACGGAACGTCACACCGCTCTTCTGTAGTACAGTTAGTAAAGTTGATTGACAGCTTATAAGCGATTGTCGCCAGTGTACTATCATCCGATGACCTTAATTATATTGTAACTACCCAGAAGAGGTCGCACCGGTTAGCGGAATCACCTGACAAGTAGGTCAGGTCAAGACATCGTTCCTCTCTCTTCTTCATACCTTTCCTCTTCCTTATCATCTTTTTCTGGGTCACTTAACTTCGTATTGGCCTCCAGTCGCATTTTGGTGAAAGTAAGGTAAAGGTTATATATATATCCTTTACCGAACGCTTGCGAATGTCGGGTATTATATTTCGCATAAAATGTCCCATTGTTTAGAAAAAATACGTTTTTGCCCGGTAAAAATAATTATAAAATAATCTCCATAAATAAGAGATAATCATTAAATAAATCCATTAATCTGATTTATTTTTTTGTTTGAGAAAGATAGCTGCTATCTCAAAATGGCGATTTCGCCAATAACTCCATCTGGTAGTAGTTACGCGAATTAATGCAGATATTTCCTCAATTTTCTTTTTCGTTCTAATCTCGATATAAATTCGATTTTTTTAAAGATGCGTGACTAATTAGGAGCGATCTTACTTCCATAAATTATTTTTAGTACCGCTTGTTGTTATTTATTTATTTTTTTCCCCTTTCGTAACAGATTTCTATTTGAAAATATTTTTATTATTTTTGTAGGCGCATATTTTTTTGAAAAGCCCGAACGGTGCAGAAGTGAATTATTGTAATTGCATAATTGTTAAGTTAAATGAGAATTTGCACGAACGTGTTTTTGTTTACTAAAAAGCTAACGGTAAAACGGAGAAAAAAAGAAATGGAGAAAGCGGTCAAACCGGTGTTGTTTCGAAAACGAAAGGTTTAAAATGCGGTAGGCTGAGAAGTACTCGGTCTAGTGCACTAGTGGTTATTAAAATTTATAGGACAGACAGTCGAAAGCAAAGACGTAAGCGTAAATGTCTGAAATAATTAATCCGTAAAAAGTAGTATTGAAATGAATGACTTCCTAGATAGAACGATTCCGGAAATTTTTTGAATAATTAGTATAAGTTAGAAATGCTTAACAGGATTTTGTTGACGGAAAACAGGAAGTAATCTGTCCTTGAAACTGTATCTCTTTCACAGACCGGGTATTGCCGCGTGAGATATAAAGAAGTCGATGCTGGTAATGGAAGAGGGAGCAATTAAAGAAAAATGTCGGCAGAACGAAAGGGACTAGAAGGAGAGGTGGTGGCGCGTGGCAGGTGTGCAAAGAGGATAGAGAGAAAACGTAGGCCCTTCGGCCGAGTTTGTGTTGAGGAAGGGAAGCAAGCATGCACATAGGGCCACTGGCAGGAAACTAAAACAGCGCCACTGTCTCTGTTACGTGTATGTGAGTGTGTGCTGCTGGTAGAGCTCGGGTCATTGACCTGCCTCGACTGATATGGCGTTGGTAGCCGGTACAGATAGAGCTCTGCGGAGCCGTTGGCAGTGGTGACAACAGACTGGCTGGAAGACACGACTCTAAGGTCATTGAGTGTTCGCTTTCTACCAAGTCTTTACCTATCACAATACTCTGTGTTTTTGCTTAGTGTTAGCGGCAGAACATTCGTCGAAGGGTTATTTGCCTTTCCAACATGGTGATGAAGCGAGGAGAGACATCATTACTGTAGGTTGTGTTTTATTCACTTAAATATCCCGATTTATTATTTAAGAAAGGATGCTAAACGGTATCGTTTGTTGACGTCGCGGGGAACGAACGGGTGATAAAACACTTCCGATTAGAATGATGAGACCGCCATGACAGTATCGGAAGTCAATGATGTAGTATTGTGGCCGTAACACTGACCAAAATTCATAGTAGCGTAACTGGTTAGTCGAGTTTCACTATGTTCTCTCACCCCTTTCATGACCTAAGTATGCGCTGCGACTGCCCTACAGCCCGAGGCAGGACTGGTTTTCGCCAGGACCCACCCGCTGATGACGGAGTAGCCTACGGTTTTCCGCACGAGTTCCTAATACCCTGATTTTCGGGTCATTCACCCTCCGTTGGTACAGTTAACACTAGGATGGGGGAAGTATATTTTGGTAAAATGTACCGTTTTCACTGTCACGCCCTTGGTGGGCCAACTTTGGAAGGATGACCCCATTTTTTAAAGCGAGTCATTGACCTCACACTCCAGGCAAAACGGGGAAACGATTCTCGGGTTCTTTGTCCGACAGGAAAGTTTTAAAAGGAGAAAATTTTGACCTTTCGACTGAATGGAAAGCAGAAATTGTATAATTTTTATCGTCATGGCCGCCGAAGCTGAGAGTGGGCGGCAACGTAATTATTAGGAAAAAAGAAAAACGGAAGGGTAAATATACTCTGGTTTTAAGTAAAAAATCAGATCGACGAGTCACAAAGTCAGTCTATCTCGCTGCGAGTCCTATACATAGCTATTGGACTTTGCTCTGTTGTGGAGGTCATTGAACTCGCTAACAGTGAAAGCTAACCGATCGTTGCAAGAAGACGAAAACACTCGGAAAAAACCTAAAGCTAAAATAATACGTATTCCATTTTTAAATAATATTTATGTAATTATTTAATGGCTTTTTTTCGTTATTTTTGTTTTGTCGGGGTCAATGACCTAAGTGATGCATTACAGCTTTCCACCATTTCTGTCAGTAGCTGATCAAAAAGTGGCGTCATATCATAATGGTACTGTTACGTTTCGGAGGTCAATGACACAGTCTAGCGGATCCCGTATACAGGTTTGTGTGGTTCCAGACCAGTTTGATGTCTTCGAGATTCGTCGTGCGGAACGCGTATCGTTAAGAATGACCTAATAAAAACGAATCCTTTCGCTGTGAAGTTCCGTTTGGTTTCTCTTACTTCATGTAGATGGCGTAGTGCAGCCGAGATACAGGAAGTGCAAGGTGACTGAACTCCTACACGTGCAGACTATACCAGGAAAAATCTAGCCTGAAATCAATGGTTTGTTGTCGACGTCCTACTTTCTATACGACGTATGTTGAATGGGTAAAGGATTTCTGATACTTCCGCGTTGCTCTACGTCATGTTAGTGACCTGTGCCAAGAAGGGCTTTCTCTTTGACAAGCGGTTAGTTTATGTTCTTTATAATTATTTATAAGCTCCGTATATTCCGTTATATCTTCTAAACGAATGATTTTCAAATTGCGATTTCCGGCAACGATCGATTGCCTAACGATGACGTCAGTTTTGATATTTAGTAAAAAAAAAGTCGACTCAACTGGCTATAATAAGTGTTCTCGGAATCCCGGACGCTGTGTTTCGTTTCACGAAGCTCTTGCACATGTTCGACAGCCTCTTTTTTTAGAATCCTTTTTTAATCCGTTTTTTCCCTTTGGTGTGACAGTGGGGCAGGAAAGTTCGCAGTTACAATTATAGGTCAGACACCCCGCTTTTCCTGAAGGTCATGGTAGAGTTCCTTAGTGTGGCCCCCGAGTTATCTGTGGCAATGAGTGGGTCTTATATATAGGGCATTTACCTGTCAACCTTAATACGCTTTAGTCCGAGCGGGTGTTGGCGAAACGTGCGGGAATTTTAAACCTTTACAAAAGTATTATAAAATGATATTTATGTCAGTGTGCAGGGGCGCACTTTTAGTTTTTATTTTTTATTACCGGGTGATCACTTGAGCGCATCAAAACAGGCAACAATGGAATATCAGTCGTTCATGTCCAACTCGATTTGGCCTCATTCTCACGAATTGTAGTTTCATATCAGTATTGAAGCTGCTATTTTTCCCGTTTCCCTACAACTTATACAATCAATGATGTAATGTCACCTGTACGCAGCAGGTAAGTCATATCCTGCAGGGAAACGGCCCGACAAAAATAGCAAAGATGTGAAAGTTTACGAAATCAAACGTCTGTTTAATATTTATAAATAATAATAATTATTATTGTTAAGATAAGCGACCTTTTAGTTTTTGTTTTGAGGTATTTGTTGCTCAGGATCATTGACATCTTCACGGAGCCAGATCTCGACCTAATTTCGACTTGTCTGGTCGATACTCTCTAAGTGAGGTCAGAAATTTGAAAAGCAGTTTATGAACTTAAGATATTTTCACTGCAGTTTGCTTTTTAAGCCGCTTGTTTTCCTTATAACTTCTGAAGGTCGCTGTAGCCTATTGCTAGCAAAGAACATCAACAAGATGAAGAATGTTTTTGTTATTAATCGATAAAAACATGACAAAAGAGGTTTGTCAGAATTAAGATTTCGTAAGGTTTTTAAAAAATAATTGCCCACAAATAGATCGTTAATGACTTTTGTAAACATTAATTATTGGTGAGACGATTATATAATGTAGATAATTTTTATTACATTCTTACATATTAAGCAATTTTTTTAATGAAATACTGATAAGGTTTTTTTGTCGTTTCAGGAAGTATGATACTTCTGCTTCTGGGGTGGGTGCCTAAGATGAGCTTATTCCACGACATTAAATTAAAACGAAGGAAAGTAGACTCACGATGCAGCAGTGACGGTGAGACAAGTGTTGATATAAACATGTCATCTCCCGATAGCGGTGCCGGTACAGATCCATTCCAAAGAGAAGGAGATACAGTAACAGCGGGCCTCGCATCCGACGACGGAGGAGATGCCTCGGGTCCAGAAATTTGGGAGCCGGAAGAGACGGAGGAGCCGACTGAAGGACAACGCAAAAGATCACGCTGTACGGATCAGGCGCGAAATACTCCAGTCGATCACGGGAATCAGCAGGATTCCGAAGAAGAAAGTGAGAGACCGACGGAAAGTCCTCAAGTAGAAAGAAGAAACAGCGTTTTTGACGGAGGAGGGGATTGCAAAGACGGAAAGGAAGACGAACAGGGTTTGGATTTAAGTAGTCCGACGCGTCAAAGAGGAACCGAACATCTACCCTATTTGAGTCCTCAACTATGGCCTCCGTCGAGTGCGATGTCTTATAGAAGACATTTTAGTAGTAGTAGTAGCCAGGAGGAACTAGTCGAAAGTCGGTATCAGTCCCCTAATTCCCAAGAAGAGGATTCACGGTCACAATTCCGACCACCACTCTTGATGGGAGAATTGCATGGTAGAAAAACTATGGTATGGACAGGTCCACAGATGTTGGGTCGCAGGCCGGAGAGCACAGCTACTTCGACTAGCGATCCTCCAAATCCTCCACGCAGAGTATCTCCATCACAAACTCCGACTGGTACGGAGGGAGGTGGTGTTGCACCTCGTCCTCTATCGCCCCGCTCTCAAGTATTCGCTTTTTTCACTGCGGCAGCTGTCACGACTCCTCAATATGGTAGTATATTGAATCCCTCTCAATCTTCGATCCCCGTTTCTTCACCTTATTCCACAACAAGAATCACGTCGAATGAAACTGTAGTTAATAATTATAATTTTAATGCGGGATCTAGTAGAACACCCTACAGTCCTTCCATGGGGACTTTGGATAATAACAGAAACAGTGAGGAAGAAAATACATATAGGTTAACCGCATCGAGTGATGCACCGACTCCACCTTCTCAGCGTTCTTTCTGGAGTTCGCAAACCACAGAAAAAGTGGCTACTTCCTCTACTTCTCAACAACCAGACTCTCAAGCCTTGAACTTAACAGTCGCTGTATATACGGGGAGTGCTACTACTTCGCGAGGTACGACGGGAGAAGACGACGACGACGATCAACCCATGGTGTGTATGATATGTGAGGACAAGGCCACGGGGCTTCATTATGGTATCATCACTTGTGAAGGGTACGTGGTCCTGGAGAACACCTCAGTGGATTTGGTAGACCAAACAGGGAAGTCCTGTTCTGTGTGGATTGTGATTTATTTAATATGTGGCAATACGGCTTTATCAATTTATATACGCCAGGTTCTCGAAGAAGTTGAAAAATTACACATTTTTAAAATATTTATCAAAATTATTTTTCTAGCTTATTAACAAATTCCCTCAAAATTAAAAAAAATATATTCAAAATTATAGCAAAGTCTTCCTTGGTGCTAAAATAAACTAAAAGCATCCAATTCAACTTTGTTTGGTTTACATGTAGATAACTTAATAGGAATCTATTTAAAGTAAGATAAAATCTTGTTAAGAAAGTAATTTCCTAAAATGTTTATGTGCGTCATTTAATAGGTTATATTTTAGTTATATAATAATAGTAATAATAATAGTAATTTCTTTTGAAATTTTAACAAAAACAATTTCTCAGGTTTACTGTTTATATTGAATTTTAGATATTGATATACATTTAATAATAATAATAATAATAATAAATGCATTACCTATACGATGGTCAAGTTTAGGATAACTTTAAATAAATACAAAATTTGAAACCTGGAATGATACGTAGAACTTCAATATATTCTAATGATAATTTCCTAGGATAATAATAATAATCTTTTTTTTAAAGAATTAAAAATTTTGTATGCATATTTTAGAATTCAGAAATGTTAGAGAATGCCACTCAAATTACACGGTTAAAATAATTCATTTTGAAAATATGTGCGTTTAATGCAAAAAAAAAAAATAGCAATATATTTAGTCATATAGTGTATATACATATATAAATACATTAATAATGATTGGAAGAAAAAAGTAGGCAGTTTTAGCCCACTATCGGGTGCAGTCATTCTTGTTTAGAATGCCATTCATGCTGTGCCTTTCTGATCACAATCGGCATTGACGTCTTATTTACCAGATGTTTCCACAGCCACCCCGCTGGGCGTCACTGGGTAAGGAGTCCCTGAGTAACCACAAAGTAGAATATCGCAGCTGTAGCGATACTTGTATTACGCGAATAAACAACAACTATTCTTGGAAAGTCAAAAACTTCCGAATTCAAACCGACTAGAGTAATTTGTAAACTATGAAAAGTAGACAGGAGGGACCTATATTCTATTGAATACATTTTCTTTTCTGGAAAATAATTTGGTTGCTCTTTTCGAACTATTCTTCGGGCAAAATTTTCCTGACACAATTTCGATAGGAACTTAGAAGGAAAGTAAAACGATGAAGCGTGAAATCTCATAACAGACAATTCTTTAACGGAAATCAAAGCTGGTTGTGATCTTTATTTTTTGCGTTGTATTTAAAATTTAAGTCTTTTCAAAATATTTATTTATTCTTTATCATATCTAATAATAGGAGCATTGTTTTCCATATATTTTCATGTACCTAGGTGTAAAGGTTTCTTCAAAAGAACAGTCCAGAACAAGAGAGTGTATACGTGTGTAGCCGATGGTAATTGCGAGATTACTAAGGCACAAAGGAATAGATGTCAATATTGTCGTTTTCAAAAATGTCTACGGCAAGGAATGGTTCTAGCGGGTAAGTTTTCTTCACTTTAATATATTTTGCATCTAAACGAGGCCATAAAATAAATTTCCATCTCTGAAGCGGTTAGAGAAGATAGAATGCCAGGAGGAAGAAATTCTGGTGCGGTTTATAATTTGTACAAGGTGAGTGAGATCTGCCGTTCCGTTAAAACGTCCGAATTCTTTATTGTTTACGTTCGTCGTATTTTACAGGTAAAATATAAAAAACACAAAAAAGGTCAGAAAAACGGCCACGTTCGTCAGGAACAGCAAAAACTTCAACCTCGCTATCCTACTCAAGATTGGGCAAATGGGCAAATTTTAAAAACGGCTCTAACCAATCCTGCAGATGTCATCCATCTAAGACACAGAATAGAGAATTTTCGTCATTGTCAGATGCCCACCGAGCAAGCAGTCGCCATGATAACCCAATTAATAGACTGTGATGATTTCGAAGATGTAGCTACACTAAAAAACATCCAAGAACTTTTAGATGCAAAATCGGAATTAACTGAAAAATTATGTCAAATAGGAGATAACATTGTTTATAAATTGGTGCAGTGGACCAAGAGATTGCCTTTCTATAGGGAACTCCCCGTAGCCGTCCACACTCAAGTAAGTTTTCAATCTTAAAACTACCTGTTACACAAACTAAGTCTTAGAAACGGTTAAACAAACATAAAAATCAGTTCAAATAATTAAGAAATTGTATTTAATTAGCGGCTTAACAATAGAAATAAAAAGCAAAGAAACTATACAAATCGCAAGCTGTTTGTCAATTTAAATAAATGAATAAATAGAAGAAACAAGTGAATGATCTCCATAACTAAACTATAAAATTATACCTAAACAATTTTAGTTTAAGGTATCCTGATTATGCTGCTTGTTTATTACATTATCACGAATTCATTCAATCAGTCTCCAACCATAACCTTTATTTAAATCTAGGGTTCAAAGATTCAGATAATACCTAATTTCCATACAAATAACTTTCATATTTCCGATTTTATGTTTATATCTCGATAAAAACCAGCTTGTATAAACAATAGTTTTACTGTATATAAAATTACAGTATAAGGTCTTAAACAGGAGAAAATGGAAAGCAATTCCTTTTATTTTGTCGTTATAGTTAAAGGCTGGACAAAAATATTTTAATATATTTTACTATACAACTTTCGCAAACAAAGCAGTTCCGTTAACAGTTTTTATTGCTATTCGGAAAAGTAAATTCAATCCGGAACAGAACGATCTCATTTCGTACATTTATGGTTTCGTCTGGTATTTCAACACTTTCAGAAGGTTATCATCATTACAAACTCGTCTAATAGATACAATCCGGCCTTGGTTACTGACTGAGTCATCCGCATTGCATAGAAGTGTCCTGGAAGCCCAACCAAGGATAGAAAAAAAATCCAGCCGTTAACGCTAAAATCTACAGTTTTCTAGAAAAATCACTATATTTTCGAATAAAATAATTCGATAATAAATTTATTTAAAATATATATATATATATATATTTATATTTCCAGCTTTTGACCCATAAGTGGCATGAGCTCTTAGTGCTTACAACATGTGCCTACCAGGCAATACATGGAAATCACAAGTCTACAGATAGTTCGAGTTCTGACCCTACGATCGATCTTCAACATGATATTGCTGCTGATCTCTGCACTTTACAAACTTGTTTAGCCGCCATGATGGGTCGACCCTTTACATTAGAACAATTAAAACTAGAAGTGGGTCCGCTAGTGGAACATTTGGCCCAACTGACAGCATCCTTTCGAAGATTAAGGCTTTGTATAGAAGAATATGTTTGTCTAAAGGTGGTCATCATGCAGAGCCAAGGTAAAGATTGCTTTCTAATACCTTATTTAATTAGTAAAGAATTGAACATTTTCATTTTTCGTAAAATAGTAACTTGGCCTTGGTTAATTTTTGCATACTTCAATTGTCAAAATTATTCATCGTAATGAGTAGAACCCCTTAGAGCCAAGTTGTATTTTAGAAGGTATGGAATATGTTCAGAAAAAGTAAAGTATTAAATTTAGATTTATTGTTTTTTCGAAGCCAAAAATATTTTGTACGCGTCCTCATTCATAATACGCTTTGAATGATTTGAGGTTAGTGGTTCCAGTCGAGCAACCGACGAAAGTGTTAAGAACGGTCGTTCACGTTTTAGATAGATGAGGATGTAATATAAGGGACAATGATCTATTGACCGGTTCATTAACGGTACTGAGGTTAACAAACTTGATTGTCAAAGATACTCAATGTTCTTTCTCTATTGCCAGAAGATACCCAGGGAAGAAGAGAACTAGAAAATATCCAAGAACGTTACCTAACAGCTCTTCGAGTATTTGTGGAAAACAGATTTCCTCAGCAACCAGGACGTTTCAAAGACTTGTTGGCACGACTCCCAGAAGTACAAGGGGCTGCTGCACTTTTGGTTCAGAGCAAAATGTTCTATGTCCCATTCTTATTGAACACCACTGTTAGTAGATAGCAACATCTGGTGAATGTCGGAGAGAAGTTTGGTTGCGAATCACGCTGCTACCTGTGACTTTTTGCCATCGGACTGTCCAGAATGCAGCCAGCCGATCAATTGGCGGTTGCCAGCCTTCGTCTGGTCGTCTTCGATGGCCCAAGCTGTGCAATACTTGAGCTGGAGGAGCAAATGTGTACATGATGTTAATAGTCTCCATGTTTTACCATTGGATGGTCAGATCTTATATGTTGTCCTTCAAAAGCCACTGTTGTTGGCTAAAGCGTTCTGTTGAGAGATTAAAAAAAAAAAGCATGTACTTCATTTCTTCATCATTCTTGTTGTTTGTTGTGATTCTTTTTCTAAGTATTATAAACGCGACATAAGCATCGAAACGTTCTAAAAAAATCATCTATAAACGCACAAATTATCATTATAAATAATATTACGTAATCGTAAACAGATAGATCATGTTCGATAGGAGATCATAAAATATGCAAGATTTTATTTAATGCTAGCAGCGAGCATCCATAACGAGAATAAACGAACGATCGGTTAAGAAATCGATAGTTGTTGAGTGTTGTTATCAAGCAGATAATGTGATTTTGTAATGTATATATAGATATACGGAAGACACGCATTGAAAATTTCAAGCAGAAAAACAGGAGGAAGCCAAGCACAGGGCCAAACCGTAATATCGGTCAAGGAGAATCGATGCAGGGGTCACTATCCTCGGTTCGCGTTGTCCTTGTCAGTCGTCGCCTCGTGTGCTTCACAACCTTAGTCAACAAATGACGTTCGTTTACTAAATGCAGAAACCTTGCGAAGACTTACACACAGTTGCGTTAATAACAATAGTATGGAAAGTACGAGAACTTGTATCGCTGGCGGCTAAGTCCCCCTCTCGGAAGTAGGTCAGGATGGCGTTCACCCCTTCAAAATGAGAGCAGGCTGAGCTCTATCACGTGATCGTGACCTCGCAACCACGTAAACAACATGGCCGCCGCAACTGCGTCATAATCCTTTGGATACAAGTGTATCCCACGCAATAAGGCCCGACCAATGGACGACGTCCAGTCGATTTCGTGCAAACGACCAGAATGGGAGGATGTTAATTCGAGACATTTTGTATTGTTTATTGTTATCATGAACATAAACAATTTAATGGCTTAGCACGGAAAAGAGTCGGGGTTAAAAAAATTCTCGTATCTGTTGAAACTTAGCGCAGTCGCGTTGACGCTCTGTCCTAGTTGGCGGTTAATGACTCGTCCCTGGAACTTTCACCATTCCTTGAAGTAACGCTAACTTACCCCTTCGGTTACAGTTCCTGCAAGCTCAAGGCTTCCACAAAGGCCATTTCCACTTTGGGATAATGACTCTGCACAAGGAAATTGATGTAACACTAGGAAAAAAACACTCGCGCTATTTATTATTAAACATTCTTTAAATGTCTTTAAAACTATCGTATTGATAAATGCTTCAAATTGCACGGATAAAGGAGAGGCGTTGGCTCTCTGCCAACCCAACTAGTATTCGCGAAAACCGTTATTTGAAAAATATTTTAATCCCGGAATACTTTATTCTCCAGCGATTCGCCCGGTTAATTAATTAAGTAATTAGTGAAGCAATTCGGTTTTTTTCCTTACTAACATTCGACGTGTATAAAACGGTCGAATGAACGAAACCCGATCACACTCGAAATCCGTTAAAAATTCTATTGCTCAACATTGTTTTTAGTTAACCGTCGATGTTGACCTAGTGTGTTCATTACCTGGCGAGACGGAGCGAGAAAACCAGACAAAACAGGTCGATTACGTTCCATCGTCGAAAACAATCGAGAAAGAACCGTATCGAAAGTTGTCAACAGCATCAGTTGTTGACGATTTTCATAAAAGCTAAATTTAGATACGTCGGCCATTTTAATGCTTAATGCGCGAATACACGGAAGTGTTGTTTGTTCTTTTATTAAAACCAAAAAAAAAATTAGATCTGGGCAATAACGGAAACATTAAAAATCCACCTGCCCGTTATCTTCAAATCCACACCTGTTCTTTTTTTTCCTCTGCCATTTCATGTTATTTGATCATCTGCTTCTTAAGCGTAGGTTTATCAACCCCGGAGTACCGTTTTAACAGTTCGGTTCTCGTTGACTGGTGAAGTGAGGGGGGAAAAATCGATTGTAGATACTTTCTAACCGTCTGGAAATCCTTTGTGGCCCAGTTACTATGCTTCATATACTTTTTTCCCTTTTTCTTTCACATATTCGACTTAATCATTGCACAGGTCAACGACCTAACGGGTTTCCCTTTCTGTTCGTAGTACAAGCAAAGCTCTGTGTCGGTGAGACATCTGGTGATAGCTCGTGACGTTATCTCGACTGGCTAACCTACTTTTTCGCGGGCGCTTCTGGGAAATTTTACTCAGAATGCTTCCTGTCGTTTACACCTGCTCGCGATGACGACTCAGCATCGTAAAGGTTTAAAATAACGTTTTAACGGGTTTATTTTTTTATACAAACGATGCGTATTAACCGTATTTGTCTAATGTAGAATAATAAGCGAGGCATTTTATTATTTTTTTTTTTACGCCATCACGCGCGTTTTAAAATATCGGTGCGTGAGTTAACGCATGAAAAACACTTGTCTGTAGTCATAAGTACACCATCTCGGAAGATTTGGAAGCGTTCCAACACACCTGTGGCATGAATGGACAGTTCCGTTACTAGGGGGACCGTAAGGAGAAAGCAAGGAAGTCGAACTCGGAACCGTTTCCGTGTTTACCGTTCCTGTTTTGCGGTCATTGAACTTGCAGCTGTCTTTTTAGTACCGACGTCCTCCGCTAGGTGGCGTCAGGTGTAAAGCCGCCGGCAAAGAACCGCGGTATACATCTACTCTGCCTCCCACATCTACACGTAATAAAATCATAATTGTTTCTCTCGACGATATTTACGTAATTTATTACAGGAATTTTTAAAACAAAAATTTAATGACGTTATACGGTAAACAATATCTTTGTTGATAGGCAAATTTTCTGGATCGCTTTACCGTAAACAACTCTTGCAATATTTATTTAAATGCCGACCCGACTCGAAAAATACAAAACAGATTACAGACACACACACACATACTCACTCTCTGTGGCCCGAATTCTGTTATTGTTTCTCTTTGCAATTATTTTATGATGAGTATTTAAGTATTGCACGTCTAGATTACTCTTACTATGCCCTAAAGTGATACGGTATGATTAAAATAAAGAAGGAAAAAAGTAGGAAAACCAGTTCAGAAGATCTAGTTCGGCAAAAGTTTTGTACTACTGAACTCTATCGTGTCAATATATAAAACCTTCGAATGTATTCAACCGTGCGGAAATTCACTCTCAATTGAGTCATGTTGTTGAACTTTTATTGACAGTTCTCTTTTGTGCATATTGTTTACACTAAGTAATTCTGACACAGTTCAAATATCGTAACTATTCCTAATTGCAGGAGAGTAGAGCGAATTTAAACTTAACGCCAATTGTTAACTACTGTATTTAATGGCGTTCTATTCTCGATGCTCGAATAGCGTAAATCTAAGTGTGGATGGCCACTTCTGTATTGATTTAAATTATGCTTGGTTATTTATTATTAATGAGTAAATTTAATTTCATTAATTAATTTTAAAAATTATCCGGTGAGACGAGATGATTACATTGAAGATAAAAACGTGTTTGGGATAGAAAACTGCAGACAAGTAGACCTTGAGACAAGTCCCGTTAGTTGAGTACGACAGGGATTTCCTGAAATTATTTTTTTGCGGTTAAGAAATATTTAAGAAATCCGGTATTGTAGAACTATATTTCTATATAGATACGGGTCCATTTTACCTGAGTTGCACATTTCTATGTAACTATGCGCATATAAAAAACTTTGTATTGATTATTTTCACCAATTTATTCTAATAAATTATAAATTTTCCTATCTGACATCAATAATTGTTATATTCTTATATATATAAAATGACATAATTACTTTAATAAATCTTCTTCGAATGATTTTTAACAGTATGATGATAAATTTATAATTTTAAACGTAATAATTTGCAACAAAGGAAAATATAGGAAAAAAAAGAGAATAGTTTCATGAAATGATACAAATATAACTCAGTATATTGCCTTGAACTACATACATCCATAAGGAAAGTCAATTCTATGAAATGTTACTCAAAACAAAATCACCCTTTATTCAAATTTAATAGCACACAAAGGCTTACATTCTATATATATGAAGAAAAAGTAATAAATTCTTCTGGTATTAAACATTTCTTTAGAAAAATCCCTTCGGAGAAACTAGATTCTTTAAATACAAAGTTTTAAATTTACTTTTACTTACATGTAATTTATAATGATGCAATACTTTAAGAATTAATTAGAAATTAAATACAATATTTCCCTAAATTGAATAATAAATTATATAAACCAATTTGAGATATTTACACAAACAAATTTCTTTTTTTATTATTATTATTTAAAATCATATTTTATATTCTACTTTTTGGAGTCATAAACTTTAACCAAGGACATATTTACCTGCCTGTCCAGTAAGACATCTGTCTCTACAACAATATTTGTGTTAGGATACAAGTATTTTGTACATCATAATTATTTTTAATAATTAGACAGAAGAGATTAATTTGATATCATTTATTATAAAAGAAAACTCTACATTCCTTAAATGCTGATACAATGATATTGAAGATAACAAACTTCTTTAATGAATGTCAGACAGACTAGTCATGTCTCTCTTAAACCTAAAATATCAACAGTAATAAAAAAGTGACTTGCATTATAATTACTATAAATGATTATTAAAATTTTCAAAATATTATCTAATTTTGTTGAAAAAATTTAATTATAATGTTTATATCTGAATTAGAATACTTTTAATAAATTTTGTTCTTTCACTTTTATAAATATGCAAGTGACAACTGCTAAAAATTTTGATGATGAATCTATGTGTTACATATTTCCCAAGGCACACAAATTCCAAGTAACAAGTACTTATACAATATAAAAAGTGACCAAAATATGAAATGTCACTATTGATAATTAAATTAAAATTTTCATTAATAATATACATTTTGAGAATTAGATTTCTATTGCGATTTATTTTACATGTATTTATTGTTATGCTGTCTTTTCTTAATAGCTATTTAACACTTCATTCATCTAAGAATTTCTTCCAAAAAATGTCTAAATAAATTTTTGGAGCATATTATTGAGAAGGAAAGTATTTATAATAAACGTCTGTATTAACAAAAGTGATCTGGGCTTGGTGCAATGACATATTGGCACGAGAGTGCATATTAAGAAATATAATTTCATGTTTGGTATGCAGCACCAGTTTTATTCTTGGCATCCTAAGTACACAAGATTTAAACAGGCATGATAACAGTTGACTGTTTTTTATGCTCTTTTTTTATTCAATGTACCCAACATAATTCGTTTTTGTTTTTTAATCTGACAAAATTCAAATAAATAAAAGCAAGCAAACTGGGTATCAATATCAGTCAATATCGTCACAGTTGAATGAAAGTATTTATAGATACCATTATTATAAACAGATACATTTGCTCAAATGCCAACATACTTGATTATTTGGAGTTTTCACATCACAATATGACTTAACTACATTTCAGAAAATCTAAACAGATGGTTTAATAGAACAAACAACCAAATTAAGGAAAAAAAAATACCATATTCAAATCCTATGGCTCGGAATAAAAGCTACCGCAACATGTATCACCGTATTGTTAAAAACTAACAAATACATCACAAATAAAATTGCCTGACTAATACAATCAGCAGAACCAGATACTACTTACAAGCTGTATATTTTAATTTCTTATATATATATATGACTTATATATATAAAGTATGAATATATAGACCAAAAACAAACGAAACAAAAAAAGTCTGACAAATGTGCTAGAGAAATGGACAGAGGTGCAGTAATTGTTATCCAACCATTTCATCAAAACACTACATTTAATACAATAGTTTCATAAGTATTTATGTCTTTTGAATTTCACCACTGTATATACTGAACTACAACATTCACTTCAGTTACAGCTATCAAATCTGGAAATAATTTTACCAGACATTCAACAAATCATTGACACAGTCCTTTTAACTATACATATATAATTCAATTCTTTCTTCTAAACAGTTTATGAAAACAGAACTACAACCTGAAACTGAATTTTGCAATTCTGCTGCAAAATTCATGGTATTCTTAAATGGCAGTATGACTGGTCAAACCATATAGAAATATCTCTCTCTCTCTCTCATATTTTATCAGCCTGTAAACTTTACAATCCTTATTAAAGGTTACTTTAATCAGAACTGATATTCAGTAGATATCTGTAGGTTAGGACTATCCTTTGGGTAGTCATACATATTCATATCTGTTTTTGACCTAGCTAAACCATTATTTTGCTTCATTTACTTAACACCTCAACATCTCACTATCCAGCTATCAATCAAACCTGTTACTGGTTTGTGAAGCGGAAGAGGTTTAGGCAATTTATGCCATTTTATTCAAGAGATAATCCACACTTCTTCCTTATTTAGTGCTCACTGATTAGTTCCATCACGTCTCTGTTTTTGTTGTTCCAATAGGCGCTCTAAGGGAGAAGGACCGGGTCCAGACCAGAGGGACTAAAAGAGAGATTAATAAAATTACATTTTTAATATGCAAATTTTATAAATTTATTCATAATCAATTCAAATGTAACACACAGAGATATATAATATATATAATTAAAATTTGTATGCATAACATCCAATAAGTCATCTAATGTTTAATTTGTTATAATACCTAATTCATTATTTTGGATGCTGATTTGACATAATTATTACATTATCTTAATGTATCTTATTTAATGTTGTTTTTTATAAGAAATAAAGAATAGCACATTTTTATCGTAAAGCCTCATATAACAAAAATGTTTGATGTCATTAATAAGTCTACATTATTATTCTACAGATAATAATGAATTTCTTTTACAGTAGTAGTAGTAGTAGTAGTAGTAATAATAATAATAATTAATAAATTTCTATTTGCTTTAATAAGTGTTGAGCTTTGGCATTAAAATATATTCTACAATAATGATGATAAGATACTAAACAATTATTCCTTCATCTTTTAACAGTTCAATAGATAAAAAATATTCTTGGACAGTTGGCTGAGAGAGTTAAGTCATCAGCCTACCCTCTGTGGACTTATGGTAACTTGCCCAGATTGATCTCTGGTATTTTTTGGGGATTATCTGTCCTGATATGTTAGGGACCATCCCTCATAACCTAGCTTATGGGCCTAGCTTATACCTCCATTATGGGCCTGGTTGAACCCATGATGGTTATGACAGGGTGGAAAGAATAAAAACTGGGAAAATAAAATATTCTTGGAGAAACTAGATATTGTGTAATAATGGAGCTTGCAAGAAATACAAGTCCATAAGTACACAATATCTAGTTTCTCCAAGAATATTTAATAAATTTAATGAGATAAAAGTAATATTAATACTATCAAATAAATAATTGTTAATTGATTTCTGAATATATTTAAATAGGAAATTGTTGACTGACCTCCAATTGATCAATGTTCACAAAAATCTATTATGATCTTTTAACAGTTTTACTTTTATTAGTTAATTTTTTTTCTTCTGATTTAAAAAAGCTGTTTGTTTTTAGCTATGTTTGAGGCAGAAAAGAATGAAATTTAAAGAAGTATGATAATTTGTCATAATAGTAATGATTCATATGATGATGAATTACCAAGAATTTATTGTATAAATAAATTTATTAATAAATTGTGTTAAAAAGTTTAAGATAGCTGAAAACTTTATCAATAAAATGTATTTTGAAAATTATTATACTAAAAAAATACAAAATATGAATACTAATGTTTTCTTACTTGGATTCTGGGTTGCATCAGAAGAGGATCCATATTGCCAGTTCCAGTTGTTCGAGTGTCTAATAATTAAATAAAATATTAATAATCAATTTAAATTATAATTTGGAAAATTATAAAAAAATATATAATATAAAGAACACCACCAAATTTCCAGTATCCTTGGTTCCAAAGCCTTACTAGATTAACCATTTTGCCTGACCCCACAGTTGCTTATAATAATTATAATAATAATTTATCAACACACCTTTAACCCACTAATTATATACCTCTCATATGTCTAAAGTGTACCATGGATTGCTAGAAACTTAAATTAAATTAAATAAATATTAAATATAAATTGCATTTGACATCACCACTGACATTCTCATCTCTCTTAGAATTCATAGCTAGGATTTTAATTTAAGCAAAATAAACTAAGAATATCACCACTAACAAGTGCAGTGTAAATAATGTAAATAAGTGTACCCTATGCAACACAATCTGTGGCCACCTAGGAAAGAAAGTGTTGGTCATCAGATGTTGGAAATTCAGTGGTGTACCTGTATAAATTTGGAATTAAGAAGTAATATTAAACAAACAATAACAATCTAATTTTTATAAATATTAATTAAATACAGTTATTTATAATATAAAATTAATAAAACCATATATTTGGTATTATGATGGAAATTATTCAGGAAGCTTTAAAAACACCAATCAAAAATTATTTTGAATGTCAAATGGATTACACTAAACTTAGGAAATTAAACATTGATAAAAACAAATACTTAGCACCCTCCTTATCAACATTTAATTGTCACCTTCAATATAAACGTATTATTTGGAATGTTTTTTAGAATATATTTAATGCTTTTGTTTTTATAAAAAATTTATGCCTGTGAAGTTGAGATAGTAAGATACAAAAATCACTTAGGTTTTACATATGTAAAATCATTCCAATAAAATGTTTTCTTATTAAGTACAATTTCAAAATCATATTATTTAAAACATTTCTGAAACTGTAAATGAAACATCTCTGGTTAACTAAAATAAATTATACATTAAACTAAATACTTCTAAAAATTAAATTCCTTAGTTTTAGTAATTATTCAGATACCAATATAATAAAATTGGACATTTAAAAAAATCCATTGATTGCGACAATGATCTCTATAGTGTGCTTTTTTCCACAAAATAGTAATTGAAAGTACAGTATTTTATTTCATTCAGTATATAAGAATAAAACGATTAAATTTCATTAGAAAGTGACATGATAAAATTTTCTTATGCTTAAAAATAATTCTTCTAATGGAGATATTATTTGAGAAGAGAAGTGGTAAGTAATTCATAATTGCCTGAAAAATATTTAATCTATCAATTATTTGTCAACAATTAAATAAATATTGAGAGGCATGTTATTTATAAATATGCCAACAACAACAACATATGTCATAAAAGAACCTAATTATTATTAGTTAAAACTAATTAAACATACATATGTTTAATTTTAGCTTGCTTCCAGATTCTGTTAATAAATTATGTATTATAAATTAAAAACACAAACAATTCTTATGATTATTTTTAAATTAAAAAAATGATAAAAAAGTCAATTACATAAAAGAACAATAAAACTGAAAATAAACTAAATACAATAAATTTAACAAAAAACTTAAGAGTTCAAGTAATTCTATACAACATCTTGTACCTATGAAAGATTACATTTTGAAAATAAATATCAATAAGATAAATACAAGTTTTCATCTCTGTTTCAAATTCAGAAAATTCTAAATAAGAATTCGGTTTTTTAAAATTTCTATTCTGTTAATTTTTAAATCAAGTAGTTAGCAAATAATAATTCAAAATTTTTACTAAAAGATTAAAAATCCGTCACAAGTAATTAATTGTGTGTGAAACACACAATTACTTGTTTATTAAAAATTAAATATATTAAGTAATTTAATATCTCATTAAGAAAAACAATGTTAATTAGTAAATGTTACTATATAAAATAAAATAAGAACAGTTCTAAATGTCAATATGTGTATCTTGAAAGCTGATATACGTAAGACTACAAATTACAGTAATTATTTAACCATGAAGTTGAAATTACAAACTTTAATTCAGCTTTCAAAAATAAATTAGCATCAAAATCTAAAATTAATAAGTTATGAATAGCTTTTTTTTCAAATTATAATTTAGATATTGACATTTTTTAAAATTTAAATTCAAAGACTTAAAAAAGGAGTCATAAATCACTCATTAGTTTGTTTATTGATATCTTCACAATTTGTTATATAATGAAAAAAATTAAATACTGATGTTTATTTTACATGTCTTCAAATTCACAGAATATTGGTGGAATTGAAACTAATAACTGTCAAAAAACCAGAATATAAATTTTGTCCATAATTACCACAATAAATTTACAACTTTTCATATTTTATATAAATTTATAACTTTTCACTTGAAAATGCCTTACAACATATTTTAGCCTTACTGACCCCAAGGGGTCAGTAAGGCTAAAATATGTTGTAAGGCATTTTCAAGAGTTGTAAGGCATTTTCAAGAGTCAAAAATTAGTTGGAGATTGGTTGAAAATGGTTCCTTACTCATTAGTTCATTAGATGATGTATAAGGCAGTTCTGAATTTGCATATTGTAAGTAGATATTTTCTATAAAAATGGTCTGTGGATTAATACTGACTCACCAGATTTATTTATTCATTATTATTAACTGTACTAGCAAAAAAGTAGATGGGGTTGATAAAAGGTCAAGGAATCCTTGAAAGTTAAAAAAAAGGTTGACAGCCAAAAAAGTTTGAGGATACCTGCTTTAGCATGAAAAATGTAAATGTTTTATTGTAATCCATTAAATAACAAATTCTCTAATATTTATAATTCTGGCAGCTGCAATACTTTTCTTTCCTCAAAGAAAATCATCATCATAATAATATTAAAGAACAGAAACATGTCTACTAATTATTGAAAAATTTGTTTTATTTTAAATATTACTTAATATGCTTAACATTAGCTATTAATTAAAAACAATTTAAAGATACTGAAAATAAAATTTTACTTTTACAAATAAATTAAGTGAATCATTTATTTAGAAAAAACTATAAAACTGTAATTACTTGATTCCTAATTGAAACTGATATTAATTTATTAAGATGTCAAATATTAAATAATTTACTAATAGATTTAAAGAATAGTTCTATGTACTGTACAAATATATATAGATTTTTTAATCAGAGAATTAGAAAGTAGATGAAAAATATATATAATATAATAGCAAAAATATAATATAACCAGAATCAAATATATCCAAGATAAAATCCAAAAGAGAAATATTTTAATAGTTATCATTTAATACTGAAGTGAGTAATACAAAAAAAACCCGAATCTGATACAAGAAGTTTCTAACAGCAGAACAAAACCTATTAAAACCATTTACAATTTTTTAACAATTTACATTAACAAATAATTTTTATTGGTTTGGTTTTTGATGGTCAAATGTAATCAATAGAAATCAATATAAATTTCTGATTTAAAAATTTTTATAATATTTCAAGATCATTTAGTATTTCTAATTTAAATTTATCAAATAGAAACAATAGTATAAATGACTAATAAATTCATAATTGATTTTGAGTCATCATTGTGTGCTCCCGAAAAACTTTTTAGAAATTTTATTGTGGCTTTAAGACAATTTCTTATTTTAGCATAAAACAATGAAGATAATTTAATTTAATTTTCTTCCTTATAATTATCTGCTTAAATTTAAGTTTTCAGAATTACTGTTTCATTATAATTACTTCATTGCTCATGATAGTAGTATTTGAAAATGAAATCAAGAGACAACAGATTTATTCAGTCTGATAGTTTCACAATGAAGACAATCTTGTTGATCAATAATCAATTTTTTCAGTTGTATAAAAGGATTACACAAAACCATTTTCAATTAAATTAAAATTTCTTGATTTGTAATTGAATCTGTTTTTGTGTAAATAATTTGAACAAAGAAATTTTTCTATAATTTATCCAAGGCTGATTAACATAGAAAATAAATGACATGTTAAGAGAATATTTATTTAAAAACAGAAGTTATTCTTTTTTAAATTAGCCACTGTAAGTTTATTGTTAAATCAAACAAATTTTTTCTATCTCAACATTAAAATGGCCATTATTTTTCCATAATTAATAGCACTGTCTATAATATCATATGACCATATATATATAATACATATTATACATCATCATCACAGTATGGCCATAGGAATAAGGTTCTTATAGTTGAAATTTATAGGAAAACAGGAAAAATTATTAATCTTAGTGGAAAGAGTGTCTGAGACACACCCTCAGAAATGATTCCTAAGAAAATTAACTGACAAAACACAAACTAGTTTCATAAGATGAAATGATGGGACAGAATGAGAACAAAAAACAAAGTCACTAAACTTTAAAATATAATTAACATACAGGTGGTTTCTGGTCAGAAAAATAGTCATCAATATAAATAATTTTTTTTTATTAGAAAATTGCTTTATTTAATTTTAATTTCAATTCATAATTTTGTCAAAATATATTCTTGAAATTTGACACACTTTAAGTCATTTTGAAGCTACTATGAAACTATATTTTGAATAAAAGTGAAAAGATTTAAGTTTCTAATATAAAAGCAGTATTCTTTCCAATAATATTTTCTTAATTCATAAATATGCTTTTATATTTGAAAGTCAGTTTATACTGAAAATATTTGCTTTATTAGATTGAAAATTTAACTTCATTAAATGAAATTGATATTTTAAAGATAGATTTCATTAGATTTATCACTGTTTAAATATTTTTTGAGGTGAAAACTGGATAGTTCTATCTGACTTGGAGACAATTTTATGGAAGAATAATTTCAAGTTTGAAGTTTTGCCAACTTTTGCAGATTAGAACCAAATTTTAATGTCAAAAGCCTGCCTCTACTCCTGTACTGTCATAAAATGGCAAAACTGTTTTAACAGAAAGATGATTGTCCAAACAAACACATTAAAGTAAAAAAACAAAGTGAAAAAAATGTAGGTAAAACCATC